TCTTACCGTCTCCGTTCTCTCCGTAGCCCAGGGACGGCGGCATCGTGATGATGCGCCTCTCCCCCACGCACATCCCCAGCAGCCCCTGGTCCATCCCCGCGATCAGCCAGCCGATGCCCACGTAGGTGTCGTAGGTCCGCATGCGGGTGTGGGGGGGGAGGGGGGGGGGTGTTAGAGGGGGGGGGGCAGAGGGTATTAGACTTAGACTTAGACAGAACTTCATTGATCCCTTGGGAAGCCTCCCTCAGGAAATTAAGGTTACCAGAAGATACTGGAAAGGCAGCCGTCTCCACAGCGCCAGAATCCATTTTTCTTCAGAACAAAAAGAATACATTGGGAAAGCGGTTGCGGGGAAGAGGGAGGAAAAAAAAAGCCCAGTGCCACGCCCCCTACAGGGGACGTAACAGTGATATAAAAAAAACACCTCGTACACTAAAGCACAGATACAGTCAAATCACAACATCAAGGACACATAGGGAGGGAGGGATGGGGGGTTGGAAGGAAGGGGAAAGGTAACAGAGGGGGAGTTCCCCCGGCCCACAGGGACCCGGAGACCCACCTGGAGTCGAACAGGGTCCCGTCCAGCAGCGTGCCGTTGTAATGGTAGCGCACGAAGTCGGACACCTCCACCTTCCGGCTGCAGAGGGGGGGGGAGGTGGTAACTGTTCGTCTGCACGCCGTCCTCCGGGCTCCAAACGTCCAGCAGCAGCACGTCGAAGTGCAGCGTGGAGTCCGGGGGGATGAGGTCAGCTGCAGGGAGGAGAGGGGTTTAAATAAATCTGCATCCGCATAAACACGGATTGTTTTAGTTGTGAATGCCAGGCTGTTTATCTCACTATGATATATTATATATATACAGTTGGGGAAATAAGTATTTGACCCCTTGCTGATTTTGCAGGTTTGCCCACTTACAAAGAATGCTTATTTTTCCTCATCAGATGGTTATCAGTTTTTATACATTCATATGATTTGATTTTCTGGAATTTTCTTTGGGATTCTGTCTTTCACTGTTAGAATGTACGATTAAAGTTACAGATCGTTGCATTCTTTGTAAGTGGGCAAACCTGCAAAATCAGCAAGGGGGCAAATACTTATTTCTCCCACTGTATATATTATATGATTTTTGTATATGATAACTTGTTCTGAAGATGCATGATGTGTGCAGTGACAGTGGCAGGTCTCTTAAATCTGTTTGATTTATTGAAAAATATTATTTCTTTGCAGGCAGCTTGCACACAATTTATCGGCAGCCAAAACAAAACATTTTAAAGCATTTCAAGCAAAAGAAAAATCTCAAAGTATCCTCATTCGGTTTTCTTGCATATCGATTTTCTATGATTTTCTTGTTTTTGTGTTTTTTCATTTAAAACAAGAGTAATCTAAATCAACAGGACTCAGCAGAAAGCTGAAACTCAAACAGTTTGAAGCTGAACTTATTTTTTAGCTCCATCTCCAGGTGTTTTTAACCAGTGAGGGATCAGTCCTATAGGATTATAATAGAAGTTCTCATAGAGAATTGGTAATATAGATATTAAAAAGTTACCTTTAGTTACTTTGGACTCTACTAATCAGAAATAATCAGATTATGTATAAATAAAAGACATTTCAGACCTAATGTACCCTTCAAGGAGCGGATGAGTGTTAAAAGTAGTAACTTAGTTAGTAGTAGGTCTGGGGTAGTAACATGGTGAGATTGCAGAGGAATGTGGGAGATGTCTGTTCACCTATAAGCCTAAAAAATGTTCAGCTGAGCAGAACCAAACAAACACCACTGATAAGGGAGTTACTAATCCCAAAAAGAACATAGAGGCCAGTCTACAGCTTGTTGAAGGTTTATGTATAAACTAAATAAATAAAAACGTCTGTCTACGTGTGTC